CTGGTTCCTCAAAGAATGAGGCAATTCAGGGGAAAGGGGTACAATACTGAGAATGAGGGCACCTAGGTTATTAATTCATTAATTGATGCATCCCAGCTCTGAAACTACCTAGGTAGATAACTTTGGTCAACCCATTTTCCTGTTGGGGTCTCTGTTTCTTCATCTTTGAAATAAAGGGATTAGATTGGCATAGGAGTTCTTAACTTTTTCTGTGCCATGGACCCCTTTGGTGGTCTGGTGAAGCTTCCTCTTCTTGGAATTGTGTTTTTAAACTCATAAAATAAAATCCATAGAATTACAATGGAAAACAAGAGTTAGTAAAAACAGAGGTATAAGTTTTTCTTTTCCAATATCGCAGATACCCTGAAATCTATCTATGGACCACTTAAGGATCTCTGAACCCCAGGCTAAGAACAGCTTTACTAAGGGATCTATCAAATCCTTTCTAGCTTTAAAATTTGGTGTTCTATGTTCCAACATTCTGTGTTTCAAGGTCTCTTTTGGCTCTAATATTCCATGTTATGTGTTCTCGTATTGTGTGTTCTAAAGACTAATTCTAGGATTCTAATCTTGTGGGAGAAGACACATGAAAAACAGAATGAAAAATGGCATCAATAGAGCAGTATGGTCAGCAATAATAAGACAGGATTTTGGAGAAGGGGTGGATAGGAAGACTTTTTTTGAGTAGGTGAGGGTTGAACTGAGCCCTGAAGGACAGATAGGATTTGGATGGAGGTGGGAGGAGAGGCTCTAGAGGGAGGACAAAGGGTCCTGGGGAATAGAATGTTATTATTCTTCCAACCCACTTAGTGACTGTTGACTATTTGGTGATGATTTGAACAATATCCAGCTAGTTGGATTAGGAAAAATAATACTCTATTTCTACCCTACGGCAACCTGTGAGTGTACTATTGACATTTGAAAGGACTAAGTCAGGAGGTTGCCAGGATTTCATTCCAGTGCCCCATGTGATTCCCATGTGTCATCATCCCGAGGGAGGCTAAGGGTGCTGAGCATCACAGTGTTATTTTTGACCGCAGCTGTACTGGCCAGCAGCCGCCAAAATAAAGACAGGGCCAGGTCTGGCAGGGGGAGATCAAAGTCCCTTAGGCTTTGTCACATAATGATCAAAATCTGAATTGCTTCCAAGAAAGGAGCCTTGTCAGGACTTTCATGATGTGCGACCTTGGTCAAGTTGATTCATTACTCTGCCTCTCAGTTTCACCATCTGTAGAGTGGATATAATAATAGCTGCCATGTCTACTATGTCTAGTGTGGTTATATTTGAAGCTAATGTTCTACATTTAAAGTTTGGGGCTATTAGTTAGCGAGAGACTCTTTTCCGCCCAAGCCCACTCAAAAGATCTCACTGGGGTCTTCCCAAGATCCCACCCAAATGTTAATTCTCAGCTTTATGACCTCCTTTTGGGGTCTGTTTTTTCATTGTTCCATAGTTTATGAGAAGAAACAGGTGATAGAAAACAAGTAAAGGAATGCTGTTGTAGGATTGCTTGAGCTCTCTCCTGAGCCCTTATCCCCCAAACATATACAAATATATATATATACTCAAACACACACATATACAATGAATTGATCAATCAATTATTTATAATGTGCTTACCATGTCCCATGTGCTAAGTGCTGGGGTTACAAAAAAAGATTAAAAATATCCTTGCCCTCAAGGGGCTTACATTCTAATGGCGGAGACAGCATGTAAATAAATATATACATACAAGATAAATAGCAAGTAGATGGAAAGTGACCTACTTTAGAAGGAAAGGCCTTAACCACTGGAGGAACTGGGAAAGGTCTTCTTCAGTAGGCACGGTCAAATACTGAAGGAAGAGAGATAGATTCTAAGAGAAGAGATGAAGGGAAAGAACGTTCCAAAAGAGGGAGGGAGCCTGTGCAGAGGCCCTACACACCTATACCCCAATACAGAGATCCACATATGTACACAGAAACATACACACACACACACACACACATACACTCTCTCTCTCTCTCTCTCTCTCTCTCTCTCTCTCTCTCTCTCTCTCTCTTTGTTGTTCAGTTATTTCAGTCATATTCAGACTCTTCATGGCTCTGTTTGGGGTTTTCTTGGCAAAGATACTGGAGTGGTTTTTGCCATTGCCTTCTCCAGCTTATTTTACAAATGAGGAAACTAAGGCAAACAGGATGAAGTGACTTGCCCAGGGTCACACAGCTAGTAAGTGTCTGAGCCCAGATTTGAACTCAGGAAGATGAGTCTTCTTGACTCTATCCCAGTGCTTTATCCTACCTGGCTGCCCAGCAGCTAGGAGACACACACACACACACACACACACACACACACTCATGCAAACACAAACACATAGATGCAGACACACAAACGCACACACACACACACAAACACACACATGCATACATACACACATACACATACACACCCCCTTGTGCCCAACTGTAGAAACTTTATGCCACCTGGAAGATAGCCAGGCTGTCCAGGGCATGGTTTTTAAAGTGTGTATTAGTAGGCAGGCTCTCCCCAGAGGTGAAGCTTCCATGTTAATGAAGGCATTTTGCAACCTTCCAGAGCGAGCTGGCGCTAAACACTTCTCCCTGTACTGTTAACCCTTGTGGGTGGGGCGGGGTGGCAGTGTGCTTGCCTTCCTTTTCCAGCCCCCATTTGCATTCTTCCATAGCTTCTCCTCTACAGCTCCCTGATTGAATTTCCTTGTTACCATCCCAGACCATGGACTCTTTCCCCAGAACCAGCGTTTTCTCAGCAAAGTACGTAACATGTATACTTTCAGTCCCTTTCCCCCTATTAACCGTCAAACCCTCCAGAGCCAGAGGTAACTCAAGGGCAAAGATGTAAGGTTTTTTTTTTTTTAGCTTAGGGGGAAAAAAGACATCGACAATTGGCTCCAGGTGCAATCTCTTCCTTAGCTAATCCCAAAGGTGTGCGGAGGCCTCTGGTTTTTCTGAAGAGGCATTCGATCATGGATGTACAGTTGGAAGGGAACATAGAGGAGGTCTACCCCAACGTCCTCATTTTACAGAGGAAAAAACTGAGATGCAGAGACTTTAGGTTACTTGCCCAATGTCACACATATGAGAGGGTTCAAATTCGAACTCAGGACTCATCAGGTAAAGTTCAGAAGTTTTTCTGCTATGCCGCATTACCTCTTCAGCTGATTCTTGCTCATATCCACTCATCCTAACCCTCCCCTGGTAGCGAACACTTTGCTCTCTCGCTTTTGGGCCTCCTCCACTCCCCTGTCCACCCTCTTCCCGCCCACACACACACAGCCACTGAGCAAGCTAAATTGTTGGCTAGAAACTAGGTCCCTGTATAAGGATGAAAAGGGCAGCTAGCCGGTGCAGTGGATAGACCGCTGGGCCTGGAGTCAGGAAGACTCTACTTTCTGAGTTCAATTTCTAGCCTCAGATACTTACTAGCTGTATGACCCTGGGCAAGTCACTTCACCCTGTTTGCCTTAGTTTCCTCATCTGTCAAATGAGCTGGAGAAGGAAACGGCAAACCACTCCAGTATCTCTGCCAAGAAAATGAGGGGCAGCTAGTTGGTGCAATAGATAGGGTTCCAGCCTTGGAGTCAGGAGGACCTGCCTTCAAATCCGGCCTTTGACACTTGATACTTACTAGCTGTGTGACCCTGAGCAAGTCACTTAACCCTAATTGCCTTGCCAAAAAAAAAAAAAAGAAAAAGAAAAAAGAAAACCCCAAATGAGGTCGTGAACAGTTAGACAGGACTGAAAATGACTCAACAACAATAACGGTGAGGATGAAGTCAACTCCATCCCTACTGTGAGGTATAAAGAGATACTTTTCTGATTGGATGACCACCAGGTGAATTGTAACAGGGACTCTTTTTGGCTGTTCACGTCCCACCTTTCTCTTTTCCAAATGACATGATTCTGGTGTATTCTGCAGTAGTTCTAGACAATTTTAACTTTTATGATCTGTACATGGCTCACATTCTTGAGTTCTTCCCTGTTTTGTCTTGTCTCCCCAAGAAGGTTCTTTGAGCTGGAAAGAAGTTAAGGAAACTGTTAAAAACTCCATTTTAAAGATGAGAAAACTGAGGCTAGATTATTATTATCATATTAAACCAGGGCTAACAGGCAGGTCAACTGATTCCTGCTTTAAGGCTTTTTCTATTATACAAACACTATAACTTAAGGTCAGGGACCAATGTATTTGTATTATCGCATTGCCTTGTATAGGTTATTGTTCAGTCATGTACAATTCTTTGTGACCCCATTTTGCATTTTCTTGGAAGAGATACTCGAGTGGTTTGCCATTTCTTTCTCCAGCTCATTTTATAGATGAGGAAACTGAGGCAAACAGGGATAAGTGACTTGCTCAGGGTCACACGGCTGGTAAAAGTGTCTGATCCTAGATTTGAACACAAGTCTTCCTAACTCTAGGCAAGCCACTCTATCCACCTAGATGCCTCCTCTGAATCCATCCATTCATTTAGAGTTCTTACTATGTGCGGGGCATTGTGAAAGGTATTTAGTGATATACAAAGATAACTGAGGCTTTACAATATATTTACAATATCTCAATGGCAAACCACTCCAATATCTTTGCCAAGAAACCCTTCCCCCCCAAAAAAATTGGGTCACAAAGACTGAACATGACTGAGCAGCAACAAAGAAAGAGAAGTATCCTGCTATAAGACAAGGCTAAACAGCTGAGGCACAAAGTACTGTGAAAGGTCCTAGGAGAGAGAGGTCCCTGACAGCGCAGATCTGACCAAGTCACCTTCTACCTAAGAATCTTCAGTGGCTCCCTATTGCCTCAAGGATAAAAGACAACATCCCTGGCCTGACATTTAAAACTTTCCACAATTGGGCTCTTGCTTATCCCTTTCACGCTTCATTCTAATCACACTGGCCTTCTACCTATTCCTTGTAAACAACTTTCCCTCTCCTATCTCTGTGTCTGTACAGTTTGTACAATTTTGTCTCTCTTCACCTTTGCCTCATAGAATCCCTAGCTGCCTTCAGAGCTCAACATGTGCCATCTCCTAGAGGCTGCCTTTCTTGATCCCCCCAGGTATTTTAGCACCCCCACTTATTTTACTTTGTCCTTTGATATGTATATATGTCCCTAGTAGACTATTTTGTTATATATCCCTTTTATTATATGTCTCTATATTATATAGTTCAATCTCTTAATCTTCCAGAAAAGGCACCTTATACTCAGAAGAAGGGGATTTACTTAAGGCAAGTAGAGGGAATGGCAGAGCTGGGCTTAGAACTGGATTTCTTGATTTCCAGTCCAGGTTACCTTCTATCAAAAGAATCCTGCTCATTTCCTAGCCTAGGTGATGATCTGCCCCATGGCTCCCTTACCTCCTCCCTCTTCATCATTAGCTTGGGTAGTTGGGAATTTGGGGAGGTTCCCTTACCTCCTCCCAATCCATCTTTAGCTTGGGTAGTTGGGGAGTGTGTGTGTGTGTGTGTGTGTGTGTGTGTGTGTGTGTGTGATTGTGTGTGTGTGTGTGTGTGTGATTGTGTGTGTGTGTGTGTGTGTGTGTGTGTTCCCTTACCTTCTTCATCTTTAGCTTGAGCAGTTGGGAATTTGAGGAAGCTCCCTTATCTTCTTCATCTTTAGCTTGGGTAGTTGGGAATTTGAAGAGGGGAAGGAGATCTAGTCCGATAGCCTTATTTGATAGATAAAGAAACTGAGAGCAAAAGAGCTAGAATGACTTGCCCAAGGTGACCCAGATAGCAAAGGACAGAGGTAGGATTTAAACCCAGGTCCTCTGGTTCAGACTCAGTGCCCTTTCTACTCCCTCACTCAATCTCAACAGACTTGCCTTCATGTTCTCATCAGTGGAGTGGTTAACTATCGCTGCCTGTGGCAAGCCTGGCGTTTATGAGAGGCAGGATGCTAATGACATTGGTTCTGGGTTCAGATTCTTCCACTATGACCTAGGGAAAGTCACAACCTCCCTGGGCTTCATTGTCCTAGTTTGTTAAATGAGGAAGTTGAATTCAAGAGCCTCTAAGGCCTCTGCCAACTCCTAGATCCCAAGTTTCCCCTCCCATACTTCCTAAGCAAGTCACGAACTCTGAGTCTCACTTTTTTCATTTGTCAAATGAGGATAATACTAATTGTCCTGCCTATCTTGTGAGGTATGTGCTTATGTAAAAGTGAGTTATTATCATTTCTTGGACTTAATCCTCTCCCCCTCCCAGGGCTTCTTGAGAATGTTGTCCTTAGATTAGATACTTGATACACTCTAGCCTCTCCACGATTCTCTCTTTCAGACTGACATCCTATTATAGGCACTCTAGTGCTGTGGTAAACAAACCCATCTGGATGAGATCCAAGACAGACCGACTTCCCTTCGCACTCAGCCCTCTGGCTGAAGGCTCCTCTGAGCTTCCTGGGTAGGCCTGTTGAGCCTCAGTAGGGCTGAGGCGTGGGGCAGGGATATCTTGCTCTACAAATGAGGTCAGGAAAATTCCCATGATCTGTGGACCACTACACTAGGGCAGATTTTCCTGGCTTGGTTGGCCGCTCATTTTCCTTCTTCATCCCTGAAAATGAGTACTTGGGAATCTAATGTGTCTCCATCCCCACAGACCTTTGTGAGGGAGAGTCAGAGGATCTAGGTTTGAGGCCCAGGTCAGCTAACTTTGGTCAATTGTCCTTCTCTGTGCCTCAGTTTCCTCCTTTCTAAAATGAGTAGGCTGGGAAAGATGATCTGTAAGATTCCCTCCAGTTCTAAATCCAATGAGTGTATTCATGTGAGGGGAAAAAAAAAGCAAAAAAACCCTCACATAAAATCTTCCAACTCTGCTGCCAGCCTGTAAATATGACAGTCTTTGGCCACGGTCCCACTGGCAGGGAGTCTCAATCCTAGGATTAGCCCTGGATAACTCCTCTTAATGTGAGAAGGATCTTAGAAAAAAAAAGGCTCTGTTTGTTTGGTTCCCTCCACCCCTCCTTATTAACTTGTAAGTGACTTGAAATGGTATTTCCTCCCCCTTCTTAACTTTCACCCCCAACTGTCTTGTAAATATAATCTATTCCTCTGCTCTATTATCATCTCAAACTTAGGGAAAAACCAGATTTCCCAAGAAATAGGTTTCTAGTGACTGCTATCCATTTATATTTGGGCATCTTGAAAGGAAGAGGACACTGGCATAGTGGATAGAGAGCTAGCTTCCATGTCAGTAAGGCCTGGGTTCAATATTCACCTCTCATACATCCTGGCTTAATGTCTCAGGCCACTCTCTTAAGACTGCTTTCTTTTCAATTCTAGTTAAAAATCTAAGAGAAGGGATTGAACCTCTGAGTTCTATAGTAGAGGGATCTCCCAAGTGAGGAAGCACCATCTACCAAGGAAGGTGAGCACCTTCTGTGCAACTTACAGCCATCTACTGCGTCCTGGGCCACTGCCGGTGGTCCTAACTTTTGTCTTGGACTTTGATGATTGGAAAAGAGAGTGAGGCTGATGACTTTGTGAAACTCTTCCTCACTTAAATCCAATTCACCCACAAGTCAAGATGTCATTTGATGATGTCATCGGTCCTCTTTGAAAATGAAGGACAAACATCAACAGAATTCAGGTGTTGACTGCATTGGTGGAAGGAGTTTCCTCACTGGGAGTACTCAGAAGTTTTGTGGGGGGATTAGGCCATGTGTTTGATACCGCTGACTCAGACTATAGTCAGATGCCTCCACTTAAAGGAAACCCACTACCTTGTCAGCCCCCTTATTCCATGTTATCACATCTCCAGTTGTTAAACAGTGAAACTTATTTGTGTCTCCACCAGGATGGCCAAAGGCCAGAAAACCAGGCCAGTACTCACTTCCTCTCCCTAAACATCTTAAGCTAGCAGAAGCATCTATATTTGAAAATTAGTCTAAAGGAATTAATTAGGAGGCAGCTTGGCGGTTTGGTGGATAAGAACTCTGGGCCTGGAGTCAGGAAGACCTGCATTCAGATTAGGCCTCAGACGCTGATTAGCTGTGTGACCTTGGGCAAGTCACTTAATCTCTGCTTGCCTATTCCACTGAAGAAGGAAATACCTCTTCAGTATCCTTGCCAAGAAAACCCTATGCAGGGTCATGAAGAGTCGGAATCAACTGAACAGCAACATTAATTGGTCTCTGGTGGTGTGGAATTGCAGATACCAGTAATCAGATAGCAGATTTTTGAGGGAGCAGGGGTATGGATTCCTGTTGCCCCTGCAATTCTCTCCCCATAGACTATTCGCAGCCAAGGAGTAAGACTGACCCTGTCACCATGAGCAGGTGGTGAGGGCAGACAGAGATGGAGGGAGCCGAGAGGGCCAGTGTGGGCACTGAAAGGCTGTGTCCATATGGTCAGCACTTTAAGAGGGTTAGAGAAACCACACTTTCCCATGAACTTAATGGAGTTCTCTTTCGTAGACCATTCCGTGCCAAAAAAACAGCCCGTTACATTAAGTGCTGCCCACTGGCAACAGGACGTTTCTCTCCCAGGGGGCAGGGAGGGAGGGAAGGCAGACCGTTTCATGAGGAGATAAGCAGCTGCAGGACAGGCTGCTCCGTTTGGAGGGAGCCAGGGCCCCCCAAGCCCCATGACACCACTCTTCCCTCTGCCATCACAAGTCCTTAGCCGTGTTTAGTCAGGCCTTCCATATAAACCTCATCCCATCTGGGCCTGTATTTTTTTTCCCCTTAAAATACAATTTCTCCCTCTGTAGTCTCCCTGGGGTATTATTATGTATAGAAAAGCCTTGGTGTGTTTACTTGGGAAATATTCATTATTCATCACAATCCATTCTTCTACAGGGTCACTTTCTCCACAGAGTCTGTTGATACATTTGTTTCCCCTGCTGCCCTAGGGTAGAACAGCTGTGAGATCAGGGGACCTTGGGGAGAGACTCCACAGAGTGGCTCAGCTAGACAGCTAGTGTTTGCAGGGTACGGGAAGGCAGGGGGAGATTTAGAGGGACTTTTAAGACCTTCTACAACTACTGCCTCAATTTTTCAGATGAACTGAAAGCCAAAGCAATTGACTTATCTGTGGTCACATTGCTAGGGGCAGCATTGTGACTCAAGTCCAGGTCATCTGGGCCTTTTAACACTTTGTTGTTCTTAAGTCATTTCAGTTGTGACTCCATTTGGGGTTTTCTTGGCAAAGGTGCTAGAATGTTTTGCCATTTTCTTTTCCAGATCATTTTGCAGATGAGAAAACTGAGGCAAGCAGGGTTACATGACTTGCCCAGGGTCATACAGCTAGTAAGTGTCTGAGGTCAGATCTCATCTCAAGAAGATGAGTCTTCCTCAATCCAGACCTGGTACTCTATTCACTGGGACATCTAGCTGATCCCTTTTGACACTCCTGACTCCAAATTCTGTATTCTTTCTATCTGAGACCAGATGCTTTGAGTTTCAATCTTTTCCTCTACAACTTACTATTTGTGTAACAGTGCACTTTTATGATTCTTGCTTTCAGTACCTGCAAAATGAGATTAGATTTGATCACCTCTAAGATCTCTTTGACCTCTATAGTCCTATGATGTCTAAGGTCCCTTTCTGAGTCTATGATCCATTGATTTAGTATCTTTCTTTACCTTTGCCATGAATTCTTTTGTGTTTGGGCAAACCATCGAATACTGAATTAAAGTTTTAATTCTACTGCTAATAAGCTCTGTGATCCTAGGCAAGTCAAACCTTCTCTCTGGGCCTATTTTCATCTGTAAAATGAGGAAATCTGATAAATGACATCTGAAATCTCTCCTAGATGTAGTGTTCTATTGTCGAAAGTTCTCCCTCAGCTCTAACATTCTATATTCTATGGTCCCTTCCCTTCCAATGGTAATATTCTATATTCTAAGGTATCTTTAAGCTCTAACATTCTGTGATTCTAATTTTCCCACTTAGACATATAGAATATGGTGTCACCATAGCCACTCCAAGGCATAGTAACTACTGCCCTGGAAGCTCTTGGACTGGCCATGGGGTATATGTGTGGTGGTAGTGGTGGGGGATCATGATAGTTTCTTCCTCAGTTGTAGATCTGTTTCTTGGGTGACTGGAGGAAAAATGGGCCAAGATTAAATAAAGCTTGCCTTACTGAATCCTTATAATAATTATAGCTGTTACAAAATTCAAAGATCAGGACAGTGACTTATATACGTGTGTGTGTGTGTGTGTGTGTGTGTGTGTGTGTGTGTGTGTGTATGTGTGTGTGATTTGGTTAGAGACTGGGAGAATAGAGGAGAGGAACCTTCTAAAAACACAGGCTCCTATTCTCTAGCTCTGTTTGTAGATTCTTTCCAAAACTAATTCCTTCAACTGTTTTCTGATTTTTTTTTCCCTCTCATGTGTGCAGTTCATTTCCCTATGAGAGTTTAAGCTCATTGAAGGTGGAGATTAAGTCTTGTGTTTCACGTGTGTGCCTGCGGTACTGACTGAGCACAGGGCTGGTCACAGAATAAGGCTTAAATCATGCAGAAAAGGGAAGGGAGGAAGAAGGAAGGAAAACATCTTTTGGTGAGGCTGTATGATCTGAACCTGGTGTCCAGAGACATTCAGTTTTCGCTGGCCCCACTGGGTACCATCTTATTTTCATGAGTCTATGTTTTGTCTTCCCAAAGACATTATAAATGCATAAGAGGGTCAGTTCTGCCGCATACTAGCTGTGTGGCCTTGTGTAAGTCCCTTGATGTCTCTGAGCCTTAGTTTCCCCATTAATGAAAGAATGAAAAAGCATTTATTAGTTTCTTACTGTGTGCCAAGTATCGTGCTAAGCACTGGAGATACAGATACAAAAGTGAGATAGCCCTGTCCTCAAATAGCTTACATCCTAGTATTCTAATAGAATATTAATAATTCTAATAGTGAGAATGTATATAGCACTTTACTATTTGCAAAGCACTTTACAAATATTTCATTCGATCCTTACAAAAACTCTGAGGTAGGCACCATTATTATCCCCATTTTACAAATGAAGAAACTGAGGTAGTTGTGCTTCGTTGTTTCAGTTGTGTCTGACTTTTTACGACCCCATTTAGGGTTTTCTTGGTAAAGATACTAGAGTGGTTTGTCATGTCCTTCTCCAACCACAGAAGTTAAATAACTTGCCCAGGGTCATACAATAAGTGTCTAAAGAAGGATATGAACTCTAAGCCTAGCCCTCTATCCACTGTACTTCTGAGCTGTTGGGCTACTGGTAGCCAGGGAAGGATGTTTTGGTCTGGGAATTCACCACTAGAATGAGTGGAACAATAAGGCAGTCCATTGGCATTGCCCCTTCCAGAACCAATGGTGGTATCAACTTGATTACAGTTCTTAGAACAAGATGTAGAAAGCAGGGAGGGAACAGGGAGGAATGTAGCTGCAAAGAAGAGAATGCCCAGTATGACACTGAGGCCTGACTGGCCTAGGGAGTTCATACCTAAGTGTCTTAGTTCCTATATGCATGGCATCTAGAGAGGTGTGGAGGGTAGAGCAACAGTAGTACTACGGGTGGGATAAGGATGAGCATTCATGGACCTAGAGTGTTTGAAGCATCTATGGATGGAGATAATAATACCTGCAGTACCTACATTGTAAGGCTCAGGTGAGGTCCAAATGAGATTACATATGTATTTTTGAGATTGTATATATACGTGTGTTATTATATAAATGAGATTGCTTACATGTATACATGTAAGTATGTCTGTATATGTGATATGTAAAAATATATTCTATATATAATATGTGTGTATGTGTGTGTATGTAATATGTGGCAGCTAGGTGGATGTAGGAGATAGAGTGCTAGGCCTGGAACCAGGAAGGTGAGTCTTCCTGAGTTCAAATCTGGCCTCAGACACTTACTAGCTTTGTGACCCTGGGCAAGTCACTTAACCTTGTTTGCCTCAGTTTCCTCATAAGTTACATCAGAGAAAGAAACAGCAAACCACTTCAGTATCTTTGCCAAGAAAACCCAAATGGGGTCACGAAGAGTCGGACATGACTAAAAAATGACAATATAACAACAATAAAATATGTGTGTAAGTGTGTGAATATGTGTATATATGTATATATAGATATATAAAATATATATGTATCTATGTATGTGTATGTGTGTGTGTTTGTGTGTATAAAATCATTTCACTTTGTAAACTGGATACCACATAAATGCCAGTTACGCATATCTTTGGGATGCATTACTCTAGGATTCTAGGATTCATGATTCTAGGATTCCTATTTTGATTTCCTCCCTTTGATAAATCTCCAATATTGTGAACTTTGTGCTTTTATATGGGTAGTTGTTTTCAGCATACTAGGAGTACCACACACACATCCCTGGTTTTCCTTAGTGGAGACTTTAAGCCAGGAAAAATGAGAAAATCTTCCAAAATATACCAAA